AGTGTAAAATAATAATTAAGGTAGGGGTTAGCTGAATCAAAATATATCTTTAAATATAAGTGGAGATGGGTAGTGGCTGACAGTGGAATCTTGGACGCACATCTAGTCCTATTCGGGATTCGACGGCTGAATGTACCTGTAGTTCAGAGTTGATATTTACTCGGGGACTAAGACCCAGCACTGTTTATTTCAAACTTCATCGCGTCATCAACTTGCTTATTGAGTCCATACAGTCATTGGCTCGTGAAATGGGGTGAAATTTAATTCACTTGTATTGATAATTTGAATCTTTCTGTTGATCGTTAGGACTACAATTGATCAGTCTGTTTGGCTTATGCACATCCTGTACGGATTGTATCGACGTAGCCAATAATTGACAAGTATTATAAGTAGAGATGGATTATGGTTAGCGCGATGGCATTTAAAGCGGACAGTACTAGGATCGAGTCTCAGAGTGGACACCAATGCTGGGATACAGGTATATAGCCGACGAATGCCAAACGGGACGAGATTCGCATCCAGGATTCCATTGTTAACCACTGACCATCTCAGCTTACAAGGCTTGTGACCTGGTAGCTATGTAGAAACAATCCTCACAGGATGCACTTATGCAAACGAAACTGATCAATTACAGTCTTAACCGCCAATGAGAAGACTCAAATTACCAACACAAATGAATATCTTTGAGTAGTTTTCACTTTTCCAATCGGGGAAATGTGAATCCTCTTTTAGTTAAAGGTTACATTTCTGTATTTGAATTAGGTTAATTTTGATTTGCATTATACGTTAGCAATATACGTGCTTTTCAGTTTCCTGACATACTTTCAGTGGTTTGGAGGTTATGGGTTCAAATGAGGGACCAGGGATCCTGGTTTCGATTCACTTGTTTCGGGCTTTTAGATGCCTATTGTTGAGGAATCCCATACTAGGAAGAAATGGCCGTCTATTGCTCAGAGTTTTCCAATGGCGGTTTATGATTTTAATCAAATAATAATCTCCACAACCCTATACGCATAAATTATTTGCTTAAAATGTATCTTCACTGGTCATTAAGTGTCTAGATAAAGGTAGATTGTGATGTAGACTATTTTCAAAATGAAAAAATCAACATTGTCCTACTGTTGATAAAAAATTTAAATTTACATTTAAAACTGATTAACCATTGAGCAGTAATGATTAATATCATATTTATCTAGTCCTATAATGCCGATCGAATTCTGTTGATAAAGTTACAATTCACTAGATTTTGTGCATACTAACCCAGTATAGTAGGTAATAAATAAATAATAACGATTTATTGATCAGTTGAGGACTCATAGAAACTTAAAAATTGATAGAAAACATTTAAAAATGAGAAAGACACAAATGATTATTTGAATGTTATGACGAATAGCAATGAAACAAATGTACAAGTTTAAAGGGAAGGAATTTTAAATGATTCTCACAGTTTCTAAATTTAACATTTTCAAATTTTCACTGTTACATACTTTGAAATTCCCCAAAGAATATTCAAAAACAAAGAATATTTAAGTGAACACTTATTTTCAACAACTTCATCATCAGGCTCTACAGTTATAAGTCTATAATCATTGTGTTATTTTACAAACAGAAAACAAATTCTATCAGATAACGATCTAAGTGCTTCTGTGGAGTTTCATAAGCCAAACTCAGAAGGCTTGATTCTTTCGTGCCCGTAATTATGTACCAGAACGTTTAGGGAAAGGATTAAAGAAACCGACTGACATTGACATCCTTTCTCTTGGCATATAGTGAACATAATATTAAAATAGGATGAAACTATCTCTGTTTTATATCTATTTCCGAACAATCTATATAAAATAGCTAGGTTACGATTCCTCGGCACAGCTGAAGTCATCCGGATCAATTCCAGAAAACCTGACTTGTGCGTTTAAAATGGATATTCTCAAACTGTGCTTAACGTGGTTCCTGACAGCATCACTATCAACCCAAACTCGATATTATTAACCTATTATCCTTCCCTCCTATTTCCTTTAGTGCTTACTACTTTTTTTAATTTACACATTAACCGCTTTCGGTTCATAGGAACTTTTTCCTCTTATCAGGATTACTTTGACCACGCCGCTCATATTACATATTATAGTTACACAACGTTATTATTATCATCTCCATTGTCTATAAGAAAGTTCTCTTACTATGCATTTTATGCACACGACTTAATGTATTTTTACAGAGATTACAACTTGAACCTTTTTGACCTTTGTTAAATGACCTCTCCAATTCATAAATAAAACAATCTTGAAGTACATATGCTGTAATAGTCACAAAATTTCACCATTTTTAACATATAACAGTGCCTAATTCATGAAGTAGGAATTATCAAGCGTGACAATTAGTAAGTTATTAAATCAGTGGAAAATTGTAATGGTTTGGTTGATGAGCAAACAACAGTCTAAAATACCAAAAGAATACAATTTAAATATCGAAGTTTCAGTGTATTAGTCAAACCAAAAATGATAATTAATGAAAACTATGTGATAGAAAAGTAAACCACGATTTACGACAAGTAATCAGGTAGTAAGTTAATTGACCATTTTCTGAGATTATTTAGTGAAGTAGAAATTACAGTCAAACAGTTTTTGACACTAAAACCTTTATTCAACTCATGAAGTTACATAGAAAGTAATGCTTAAAAATTAATATCAAAAACAATCACTGAATTTTAAAACGAATTAACTTCCGAAAATGTATACCAGCTTTCAAGTGACCTGACAATCTATCGCAATATTTCGTAAATTTATCGTTGACATTCATTCATGGTTTACATTATGGTCTGACGTTAATTTGACAAACATTGGAACTAGGGAGCACTGGGCAATTGTTTCAGTCAATAATCATGTATTGTCTTGTGATTAATTCTGAGAGGTGATTTCAGAAGTTCTAATAACAAACCATAACCAATAGGTTGAAACCATCTCGGCTGTGGAACAGTCATTCATTGCAGATAATAGGAGATGGTTAAGTGGTTTCGCGAATCGACTGATGTTCGTCTTGTAGGCCATTAAATATAGGCTTCCTGAACTTTAGATCGGACGCTTGCTAAGACCTCTGAAGGTTCTGTGTTTGACACAGAGTGGGTTAGTAGATGAACAGTATTGAGGAATCCTATACCACAAGGGAACAACTATTCATTGTTTCCTTGTCTTCAGTAGTTGTCTAACTATAAACAGTATGCAATGCTAATTATAAAATTCGACAATATCTATGAACTGCTGATATTAATACTCATCAATTTTTACTCCTTTTAACTAGATTGGTTAGAGGGACTGATAAAACATTGATTTCAGAATTTAATCACAATGATTTCCTTTGGAATTTGGGTCAAGGTCAGAATTTTAAGTTTAAGAAGATAATTATTACCTTAGATTAATTACTAGTATTCTAAAAATGAATGACTTGTGAATTGAAATTTTAATTAATTACCCCATTATCTAAAGTCAAATAGTCTTTTCGAAAATTGTAGATTCATTTAAAAAAGATTAAGAAGAAGAAGAAGATTGATTGAATTCAGAGATGGATTTACATGTGATTATTTTCTGTATGAGAAAATGTTCTATCGCGTGACATTAGGTTTTATACTTGACAAAACAGGGTATAAAATTTAAATGAAAATACTTATGAATGAATAATTAAAATAAAATCTATGTAGTCACGCAAAAATTTCAGTCTTCATCTTTGAGTTACACTTTGTAATCTGGAGTTAATAATACTGCCTTAACAAAGGGATTAGTACAGTAGTTGAAAATAGAATCTTACAATTCAGAGGCCTGTGTTTTAATTACCAGAGATTTTATTTTCCACTGCTTAAGAATTTACAAGTACAACATTATTTTTATTATCAGCTGGAAAGGAATTTACACACACATGTTTATGATGATCACGAAATGAAATTCGATACAATATTTTGTTCATAAGCAGTATACTAATATACAAATAGGGACTTGTTATCTCTGTTGCTAAGTTATGAATTTTGTTTTGGTTACGATTTCACATCATAAAACAACGATCCCAGTACTGATAAATATACCAACTGATGTCTGAAAATTCTAATTGTTTGAGAAATCCCCTTTCATTCTGTTCTGATGCATCCAGTATCCAATATCAAATAGTGTTCACGGTTGACTGCTCATTGAGTAGTAGTCACTACTAATGTTATTTTTTTCTAGTCTTTTCCTGCTGACTGAATCCTGTCAACCGAGTAGGAATGTGTGTGCTGGTCTACAGGACTTGAAATCCTGTATACTCTGCTCACATGTTAGTTACTTGGAGGTATTCGACAAGAAACTCCGAGCCTAGGACTATCGCTGACTAACAGTAGCGTCAGTTACTTGAAGAGCGCATGTAAGTTTTGTTGACAGGTGTCAACCCGCATGAAATGCAAATCCAGGATCTCCTGGTGACTACTTACAACTACCTAGTATTAAGTACTCTTCAATTAGGTTCATTTAGTTATTTATTTTTAAATAAATAATCACATTACAAAGTATATAATTCATGGTAATCATAACTTTTAAACAAGAACATGTTCAAATTTCTACAATAACCAAAGTGATGTATTACACCCACCACCCATTGAAGATGGATTAGTACTACATTCGTATTTCATGAATTACTCTTATACTCAAATAAAGGTTGATTTTCTTTGATGAGTTTCTACATGAAATAAAATGCACATCCTAGTTGTCTATTCGAATTAACAGTAGTCTGACAGTCACTTTTTCACTATTATCCAATTTAATAATTCTTTTAGCAAATGTCAGTACGATTATATATTTGAGTAACAATCATTGGCTGTCTTTGTCTATTCTTCAGCATCATTTAAAACTAATTTAAATTTAAGGATGAATAAACAAACATTCTGCCTACACAATAATACAGATAACATTACTGATCTAATATATTTAAGCACTCTATAAATATATATGTATATATATATATATATATATATATATATATAAACTGTTTCGTCAAATATATTCTTTTAATACATTAAAATATTACTATAGTTATTGATGTAAATAAAGTTAAAATTTAGGAATTGATTGATAATATTGTTGAGAATAACTCAAATAACTTTCAGATGTGTAAAATTACTTATAAGATGCATAATAACAAAATAATAGGTTAACATATTTTTAAAAGTATTCTATAAGATAATTTATCAAATAAAATATCTAAGCCATCATGGTGAAGAAATATAGAAAGAAATTAGTTTATTAAATAAATGACTCTTTTTCCATTGGTTCATTCACTTCATTTTCTGTTGATCGTTTTGGCGATTGAGAACGTCGTAAAGTTGAATACCTTGAAAAATGATGAATTGGAGATTCGGAAGTGTTAGAAATTGTCGGCGAAATGTTTTTATGACGTTTCACTGCATCATCAACAATACTTGGTAAAATTAATTTTGGTGGTTCAGGATCCATTAAATCTTTTAAAACGGAATGTCGATGACTTGTACTTTTGAAACGTTTCGCTTCTTGACGAGCTAAATTTCTCCTTTTTATTTTTCGTCTATCTCTTTTTTTTACAGAAAAAGAAAGATAAGAAACCAAAAAAAATAAAATATGTTGAATTAAATTAAATTAAATTTGAAAAAAATAAAATTAATGTTTTTAGCCTTAAGAATTATTGAAATATAATTGAAGAATTGACAATAAATTTTCCTAAAGAATAAAAGTCAGTTTAATCCTGTCGGGTTTAGGCAGTAAGTATCAAAGACGATTGATGAAGTTACGTGAAACCCTTAGACTGATCAGGGTTAGATATTAACACGGTTAGATACCGGCTAAGTGGTCCAGAGGTTAGGCGTCCGCGTGAAAGACCGAAGATACTGGGTTCGGTTACTGGGAGTAGCAGGAGTCGTGAATGCGCACTGCTGATGGTTCCCATACCAGGACGAAACAGATGTCCAGTTCTTCCAGATTACATCTCTAACACTAATCATTTTACGAACAATAACAAATATCGTTTACAATTGTTAACAAAAACAGCACACAATAGTATGACCAAAACAAAGAGTTGGATTCGATTATATCTATAATATCTCATACTGCACTGTACAGCAACAATGACGTAATGAATATTATCATTATAGCCTGTTATATAATGAATTGATTCATTCAAATATCATAAAAGAATATATTCACTGTGACAAAATATACACAGTTAAACAGAAGTAGAAGAATTAAAATATTTCATCAATAAAGTAAATACTTTTTTAAGTAAATTTTAAAGTTCATTTCTATCAATAATCATTATTGATTAGAGAGGAGTGTGAAAATCTAGAAAGTTTATTTTTTTTACACACTTGAGTATGAAACTTTTCAGCAATGTGCACACAAACATTTTCAAGGAACCAAAGAAAGAAAATTCTTTATGTATCATTATTAGTACAGTATCATTGTGTACTAAACACATCCCATAATCAATTACTATGCTGATGTAATAAGATGTAAAAGAGTATTTGATTTATATAATGATAAGGTGAATTTTTTGTTCACCCAAGTAAATGCAATACAAAACTTTTCAAAAGTATTTTCTGTTGTAGTATATTTTAAAAATATTCCACATTTATTTGTGTCCTAAGCAATACAGTTATTCCTCACTATAACCATAATATTTAGGCAATCCAAAATAAAAAGGAAACCAATGTTTTTATTGTCATTAATAACAGTGCATTTGTTTTGTTATAATGTATGATAATAATTTCGTTATTATACCATTAAGTCAATAGAATTTAACTAAACGTTTAAGTATGCCTAAGCTAAAAGAACAAAATGTATAAAAGGAACATCATTGCTGCTACTGACTTACAGATGATAGTACAAATTAATTGATGCAAGTTAATTGGAAGCATTTCATATTACTGACCTAACTTTAATACATGATAGTCAGATTATTATTCCTTTTCTGGTATCAATCTATGTTTACGTACTTCATAGTTCATTAATTCCTGTATAAATATCTACGTATCATTCGTGTTTATGATTTCATTACGTTTGTAAAACTCAAAAGACGAAGATTTTCTCAGTATATTTTGCGTTGTGGCTAATTATAGAATCTAGTATACAGGCTTTATCCTATTTTATAGTTGTCAACTGAAAATACTTGCATCCCAATATTGGTGGTCACAATAGGGTTCAAATCTAGAATGTATATCTTCAAATATCAGTCTCTAACATCAACAACTAAGAAAGTAAAACTTGTTTACAATTTCATACTTGCTAAACAAGTTATAAGCTATCTAGATAGGTATATTACAGGAACTTTGCAAACAAAGAGGTCCAAATTTGAATACTAAATCAGTAAATGCGTTCTTCAGGCGAGCATTATTCAGTTATTACATAGTATTTCAATTGTCTATAATTTTTAACACTACTGATTTTCCAACATTGCCTCAGTCGTAATTCGGGTAACCACTAAATATCAGTTTTGAGGGGAAACTGTAGAAGTCTGAATGAAAAGCTTAGGTTTTTGAAGTCAGTGAAGTTAGAAGTGTAAAATTGGCCAGAAGATGACGTTGAATAATATCCCGATGTTATGAAAGCTTTCAGTGTGTGGTTGGAAGTCAGAATATAATTCAAAGACTTACTCGATTGAAGGGTTATGACAGTAAATCATAGAAGAATGTCAAATTAGTAATAAATGGTTTTCTGATCTGCCCTTCATTTTCTAGCTCCATTTTTTAACCAATCTTAGCTCACAAAGAAACTCATTTTTCCTAGCTGAACCAAAAATATCTGCGTAATTAGCTTTTTATTTTAATTGTTCAAGCAATTCAGATTTATGAAAATAATAATTTTGAGAGAAATTTTAAATGAATTTTATAATTTGTTTTTAAATAAACAACAGCATATTTTCTGCTTCATCTTAATTTTTAATGCATAAAAAAGTGTTTACATGGTAGAAAAATATACAAGTGAATGATTTTAGTTAGTTGTCAGAAAAACTTAATAGATTAGTCTGGTAGAACAGTAGTCTGAAATAGGAAACACTTCTATAATGCCCATAATAAATTGTTAAAGTGAAACTGACAACTGCATTTACTACAGTAATTAGTCATCAATAACACTGCATAATTTTGAAATCTGTCAAGTAATTAAATAATCACTAATGATCATAGTACTGCATCATATTCCTACAGCTCTGTCTCTGATGTTATATTATTCGGCCATGCTGAGATAATGGAAGTTTGACAAATCGAATTTAGTCGAAGTAAACAACGTTCAACACAATCAATGCACCTATTCAATACACAAAAGATGCTAATTTTTATTATAAGATAAAAGATATTTTTATCTGTCTAATTCACTTGTGAATTTACTTTTTTCTTTCCAAATGAAGCTTTTTTTATCCTCAATTTTGTAAAAAAATGTTTTATTCGATGAAATTGAGTCGAGATTAAGGAAAAAAAAGCAGCAAAATACTACGATCAATTTTTATTATCTAGCGATCTGAGTAACTATCGAATAGATTGTCATCAGACAAATTATCATTTGAATAAAAGCAATACACACCAGTTCACTTGATTTCGCGATTTCTTTCCTCAGTCGCTTACAACCGAGTGAAATGTTGAACATAAATGACAGGAAGAATTAGAATAATAACAGATATCATTAATATAACAATGGTATGTATTATAAGGTCATTTAGAGCATAAAAAACATTAACAATATCTATTCGATCGAAGTTGATTAAACTTAAGAATACATGAATGAACAGCTGTTTATCTTATCTTAAAATGTAATTTTAATAGTAAGCAATTTGATAACCTTATTGATATTTTCAAATGACATTCTTAATTGTTTTTATGACCTAAAGTGTACTTGAATTAATTTGTTCAAGTGAAGACTAAATAGTCAACAATATTTAAGGTCGTAAATGAACATTGTGAAGAAATTTGAGAAAACTTAATAGGAACTATCCGCTTATTGTTAGCTTACAATGAACTTTTTCATGAATGCCGCGTTGTAATGAAAATTATTATTCTCTTCATAGAATTAATCAAACTACAAAAATGGATTGGTTATATTTTTCGAAATTGTAGGGTACTAGTTAATCTAACTAACTAGACTGAATTTTATTCCTTTTAAAGTATGCTGACAAGAAATAATAATAATTCAGTTCATTTTTATATATAGAACGATTTTGTCGTTAAGCAGAATACCACTGTAAGTAGAAACTGATGTGTCATAGAAAACAACAGTATAATGTTTATTCCACTGTTTAACACATTAACTAAACTTATTAATCCTCAGCAGTATCAGCGTATACACATAAAAAATCGTGTAGGTAAAGTGAACATTTCATCAACTCGTACGACCTCGATTAGTCAGACCGGGTATGAGTTATATAATCTAACAATAACAACCGATCATTACTGACTTTGTAAGGAAAGCAACTGAAATATTCTACATCTTCTATATAAGTTCTATCACTGACCATATATGTTTCAATGCAGTGATTTTATAGAGTCACTCTTAAGTAAGAAACACTGAGGTTGGTTGAGCGCATGTATTTATAAGGATAATAATGATGGTAATAACACTAAGAGACGTATACAATGATAACAGTGATATATAAATGGGGTAAATCTGACATGGAAATACAAAAATGATGGTTGTATTATTGCTGCTAGCATTAGATCATTTCACAATTCAGATAAAAGAATTGATTTATTGGGCTTGAGGTTGGCTACAGTAAGAGAAGAGATTGAATCTATTTGGTTTACAGACGAACCCTATATTCTCTTAGTGCAAATAGTTACTGAGTTTAACAGATCATGACTAATATTTGCTTATGCAATAAATTACTGTGAAGGACTGATTCATATTGACGGTATGACACGTTTGAATTAAATGACGCAAGATTAGGTTGCAACTACACTTGAGTCATTGAGTCTGTGTGTTAATAACGTTAAAGTGAAAATCCATTGTGACAGTTAAATGACGTCTATTAATAAACAGGTTAGGACAGTACCTATATCTTGCACTTGAATTTAACAGGTAAACTTATTCGCTAATAATCTCTGATTTAAGTTAAAAATTAACATAATTAGACATTCTATTTGTCATAAACAATTAGTAGTATGAGTACTTATTCAATGTACTTTATCTATTATGTTTGTCATTATTTACATATTTCAGTGTACTTCATTTCTATTTATAAATATGTCTGATACTCAGAAAATTAATAGTGAATTCTTTCTACAATCTATGTTTCATAGAAGTCAACAAAATTCTCTTGATTAACTGTCAATATTAAAAAAAAACTATTTAATCATTAAAAGTTTAACATAAATGTAAACTAAAATGTACATTAAAAAGATTGATCACCTTATGAAATATTGATCGATTGCTTTATTTACAACTTTACAATAAAACGAAACATTTTTTCTTTTATTAATTACGTGACATTGATTCACAAGGTGTCAGTGAATTATTTGATTTTAAAGGAGAGATCAATTTCATGACCCTTTGTTTGGCACAGTCTAGTAAACTTCTTTACGTATGATTAAAATAAAAGCATGAAATCGATTGTTATAATATTTCAGATGTTTGTTATTGACTAATAAGGGGTTCATCGGTAAAGAAAATCTAGATCGTCAACAAGTTAATTTAAAAGCCTGCACTCGTGTTACTTAGAGGTTGATATTGAGCACTGATAATTTGAATGTTTAACAATAACTACCTTTCAGTATATTCAAATCAGTTTAGACCAATGTTCTTCTCGTATTAAGTTGAAAGGTGATCAGATTTTAATCCTTTGAATAAATATCAGCATCCTTGAAGTTTTAAATATAATTTTATGAGACGAATAAACAGAAGTTAACAACTGCTAGTCTGAATATGTATTGTAGTCAAATATCAAAACCGATCAGAAAACTTGATAATTAAGCTAAATTATCAAACTGATTAAAACAAGAATTCAAAACAATTTTACAGTTATTTACTTTGAAATTATTTATATGTTCAAATAATTTCTATGAATCATATTGACAAAATGATGAGGAAGTGTATTAGCTAAACTTACGAGATTGCTTTTATGATTGATGCAATCCAACAGGCAACATTCATAAGGCCAAATATTACACCGAATATAATAAACGATTTAATTGTATTTTTTCGATAGGATTCCAGTAAGACAGGATCAATAGTTGTTTGTGTTGTCACTCCAGTTAGTTTACTTATATCTTCATTTGTTAGCAGATAATCTTCACCACTGACAAGATAAATCACCATTATCATTGTGAGTGAATAAATGAGAATATATTTAATAATATCATATTCACAACAGCACATAATTTGATTAGAATGTTTATATTGGAATATTTCAAATTGAAAAAGGTGTAATTTACATAAAGATTATGTCGTTAGCTGTCTCAAATCAACTGTGATCAACTGAATGTTTAACAACACTAAAATACTTCTTTGTAATATCTCACACAAAGATACTTTCAATCAATTAATCTTTATATATATATATATATATATATATATATATATATATATATATATATATATGAGTAGAAATGTGCACTTTAGTATTTCTCGTTTCAGTTTCTATTTCTTTTAAACAATATCATAGGTTAATTCATGAAAATCGATAAGAATTTGGATTTTTATCGATTTTTTCTATAAGATTTATTTGTTTGACATTTCATTCTTAACAAAAGTAGTATACACTAATCTATAACATGATAAATATTTCGATTACCATAACTTTGTTGTTTGTTTTAATCAAAATGTTGTTAGTGAATGTCATTTAAATTCATTATTTTCTCTCGAGAAGACTAAGAGTTAGTTTTCAAAATTAACGAGATCGTTCAGTATCAAGGGAGATAAATCGTCATCAAGTGTTTCTACATCAATTTCATGTCACACTGTTGAGCGAATCCGACTTAAATGGATGCAATTTTTAACTACGCTTAGTGGTTCATAGTATACATTCACCTATAAATTTCACATAATCATGATGTAATTTGATATTGCAACGTAGATATTTATTGTACCAATAATTTATCTTCATGTTTTTTTTATAAGTTATTGTGTGATTGTATTAACTTATTCAAATAAAATAAGCATTGTCTAGATTTTAACATTGCGTGCGTGACGTAAACAAACGAACGGAAAAAACAGTCGATGTAATAACTTATTATTTAAAATTATTGAATTTTACAACTTTGTACTTAATAATCTGCTCGGATTTAATGATCAAATATATGTGAGAGATGATAAGTTGTACAGTTTGAGGTTTCCCATATTATTTTCTAGTTGTACGTAAAAAACGTTTAATCAACGTAAGTACATCTCATGCTCGATATGAAATTTAATATAGCGGCTAAATTTAGAGCTCGTCTATAAATACCTTCAAACAAAATGAATTGTAAAACAATATCGTCTGCTAAAATAACTAATCTATAATACCTATAGGAATAACGAAAACCCATCAGAGATGTTGTAACGAAATAACATATCACTCTCAAATAGTAGGAAGTTTACATTACTAAAAGTATAAGAAACGATGAAAAACATTCATTGATTATATAATAAACCTGTGAGGTGATAGAAATAGTCTACAGAGAAACCTTGTGCTTTTTATTACATATTTGTAATGTCTATTTCTAATCAGGGGAGAACGAATGCTTAGCTAATAGATACCTTGATGATGAGCACGAAATAGCATGATTTCTAGGTCCTGCCTACTTCCTTCAATCATAAACTTACATCTCAACAGAGTGCACGCAATTTTGAGTCATGAAGACTAGTGGCCAAATTTTAACCTAATAAATAAAATTCGATCAGTACCAAAAAGGACTTGATGATATACATAATATTGGTCCATACTCAGGGATCAATAAATTGTAAATTTAATTTTACTAGTTGTATAATATATTCATGATGTCGACAAAATATTAGTTGGTTAAATCAGTCAGCGTCATCTTGTAGGTTTGAAGTAATTATTCATATACAGTCTTTTTCTTAGATCATTTGGTTAATTCCCTTAACAATAATGGTAACAGTAGTAGGTTTAATCAGTAGTATACGTTTAGTATGATATGGAATTCTCAGCACTGAATATTTCAGCAAATTTCCTATAAAAAAAACCAATAAAACGACAACCAATATCTTCATACACTTATACATAAAAAATTGATTCAACAAATTATCTGAAAGTAAAGTGAAATGTCTTTTTTTTACACGGTGAGAATTTATGCAATTTTTTAAAATTAGGAATATGTTTAGGAATATAAATTTCTGACCAGGTCAGTTCTTACCATCTGTTCGCGAATAGTATATTTGCGAAATAAGGCGTCGTAAAACTTTTATACTCTTGCTCGCATGCACGGATTCTAATGTATAGACGTCTTGCTCTGACGGAATATATGAAGGGAAAAAGTAGTGAATGGAGTGGATGGTTGGTATCTGATTAAATAACACTTATCAATAGTTTGCACTATTTTAGACTGTCTACTCATCATCATGTTCATCATGAGTTCAAAAGATCCACCACATGTTCTGCTAATCATATTCAGCATTCCTTGCAACACAGTGAAAACTTTCTTCGAAATTCCGGAAAAGAATAAAAGGGAACAGTAAAGAACAATAGGTAATATGCAAGAGTTTATAAAACGTAAAATAAATGTCGATTACTGTCACAAACATATATCGTCTTTGTATAATAAGTCAAACGAAAAAATTTCTTCGATATGAGTAAAACATGGAAAGACCAAGAAGAATCCGAAGAAAAACTCACAACAAGATAAATAACCTTTGATTCTGTTTTTATCATGTAATCTCCACTGGTACAATTTGTGTGGGATTCCAGCAGAGTGTCTAAATCACGTACATGTCTCGGGCTGAAGTTCACAGTTTGGCATTATAAAGATTATATGTAAGTCTATTAACGTCATGGTATAGTTCCAAAGGCAGAAGTATGGTCTAGAAATGTGCACTGAACATATTTCATTCCTGTTTCTAAGCAGAACAACAGCTGCATCAAAGGTACTCCTTTTATACTTGTAAACAAAATGATACAGATCAATGTATTCTTTTAAGCCGGGTCCAAGTTAGTTTTGGGTATGTAAGTCGGTTGAACCCTCAAAAAATAGTTTCAGTCAAACAACAAACATCAACGCAGGAGTACAAATAACAGCTGACAATATCAACAGTGTTTTTCAATTAGTTAGTAATAAATAAATACCTGTCTGCCGTACGAAATATGTTTTTCATAGTTTGGAAATTTTCTTCTGAGTAACTCTTTTATTTAACTTTCTTTGTCTTGTGTAAGAATTTGCTACATATATTTGAATAGAACACGATTAATAAAATGATCCGAATTTATCGATGGAGCACGTTTGTGAGTTACATATTTCCCCATATCGTTTATGAAAACTAGGTCTGACTGCTCATCAGAAAAAATGAAAAAAATCAACTCTATTTTGGTGGCCTACATCAACTGAAGTCACCACATATATGTGAAAGTGAACTACTGAAGACATGAGAAGCGAGTTTAATGAATTCATCGATAAAAACAGACATTACAGATGAGGTGAATCCCGGAGTCTTATAAAAGTTGGTAATGTGGACGTAATTGTCCTTATTCAAATGTTTTAGAAGGCATCTTAGTGTCAGACAGTTTATAAAGTCATTAGAAAAACTTAAAACACACTAAATCAGATCGACATCCGTTCATACTTACAAATGCAGTTACAGCATCGCCACACTTTTTCTTATTGCTTGATCTGTTCTGACAATAATTAATGAAACCATATAATGATACTAAACCATCATCATGTACATTGTTTAACCAGGATTCCTGTACTGTGATTACACCACAACTACAAGACCTGTTAGTGGTGGTGTTTCGTTCTCTGAGCTGAATGTTTTAGGCGAGGAGCTTTCATTGTTCTACCGAACAACATCATCAGCATAAACTTTAGATAGAAGTGAAGCATGGATAGGAGGAGGACAAAGAACATTAGAGAATTTTTAGAAGCCTGGCACTCAGGTCAATCAGCAATCAGCAAACACACTGACATTGACCCAATATATCAACCAAACAGGAAAATCATAAATGACATAGGATCAAGAAACTGATCAAAAGGGGGATACAATCAAAACAAATGTGCAAACAACAACAGGTTTAAGGTCAATAGCAACAGGTCAAACGTTGAGAAATTCGAATACTTCACTTCTATCCGAAGTTTGTGCAGATGATGTTATTCAGAAGAACAACTAAAGCTCCACAATCAAAATATCCAACTCAGAGAACGAAACATCACCACAATCATCCACATGAGCTACAAATTTTCTACACCATCTCATAAGACATATTAAGATTTAGAAGGAATTGAAGATAGTCCACCTTGCCAAACAATGAGTGGTAGTTATCAACAAGTAGTTTAAGAATCGACATCTGATTAACGTTCATTCTTTTCTCAGTAGATTGCTAACACAACCATGATATCTTGGATGATATAAAATTTGTACGTTGTAAAACGCGATAAGTCGTAAACTCTCTATATACTCACCTGATTAGGTTATGCGAATAATAAATATAATTATTGTTTTAAAACAAACAAAAAGAAGTAACCTGATGAAATATTTTGATATAAGGAAAGTGGGTAGCCTAAAAGTTCAAACAGACCGCATGAATATCTATTTTTAAATTAAATATTCTTTATTTGTTCATAATTCAAGAATATATTGAAGGAACAATAAATTATAATTCATAAATCCATACAGATTACGTAATTAACAAAGGCCTGTTTAATTGAGATCTATTAATAGTTCATGCAGATATTATAATTCATCCCATGAGGGAACAGACGATTTCATTGTGATTTTTTCTTTTGAAATGAACGATATTATAAGAAATAAAATGAATCAAATTTTCATGGAAATTTATTGATTCTGTCATTTCGTATATGTATATTATTGTTATTATTATTATTATCAAATGTAAATGTGCATTTCCTCACTTTTATTCACTATGGCAATGAATAATAATGATTTGTTTCAAAGAGAAAACAGCGGTTATTTATTTGGGTATCAACAAATAACCATGGTAAAATTATACAAAACTTTTTATCAAAAAAATAAAAAAGTAAAAAAAAAACAGCAAAATAATTTTATTTATTAAAAGGAATTAATTTAGATATGCAATAACTATAACTATAATATTGTACAGTTGAAAAACTTTCATAAAATACCTCTTCTTCATCATAAATTAAGCATAAAGAATGATATTATGAGATTGTTGTCTGTTTATTTTTATAAATTAGAATGACATTTAGTGAATTATTAATTAAGGAGGTTTTTATAATTCATAAAAATAATGCTTAGTATTCATAAAATGAAATAAATATCTCATGAATGGATTGTTATTGCTGATTATTAATAATTTATAGTTAATAAAGCTTGTCTCCTTTCATGGAAACTGATCATATTCTATTGCTAAAGTG